TATTTATGATTGTTTGGCTTCTCCTTTTATTTAATGCAAGGATCAAATTGGGGTACTTCTAAATCGAAAGGATTTTAAATGGGGTTTCATGGACGGAGGAGGATCAGGAAAAGGACCTCAAGGAACTCCGGCTTCATTAGCTCTCGTCTGACTCGCAATCAGGATTAAACGACCGATCCTGCAGGTGTAATTATGCGAGGGATCTAGTTTCCGACACCGAGGAGTTTTCTGGAAAATCTCCAAGAGGACGATCTGCATAAATCTATTAGTTCCTTAAGGAGGAGGAGACCGAAAGGACCTCATTTGGCGGGCGACGAGGTGTGAAGTTATTTCCACGCAAATTCTCGCTCTTGAGATCCTGCCGAGAATTTCCGAAGTTCCTTCGCGGGAGTCCTTGCCGGGTAAGGAAGGATAAGGATCTCCGGAAATTCGCTCCGACTTTTGGGGTCAATTAAGGAGAATTTCCTGCGAGATATGCCACGCCAGGACACCGAGTTAAGGATGCGAATGAGAATTAAACTAAACGGGAAGAAAAATTCCGCAGAAATTAATTCCTTACGCCAGGAATTAATTCCTTCCGCCAGGAATATAATTTAATTCGGCAGGAATTAATTCCACCCTTACAAGATCCGAAAATCCTCATTCTGAGAAAACGTCATTTCGGAACTCTCCTCCATGCAAATATCGGCGCTATCAGTTCAGAGCCAGAGAAGTCAAAGGGACTTTCCGAACTTCCAGGACCTAATAAGTTGAAGTTTCCTTCCTGGATCGAGTGGCCCAGGAAGTCAGAGTTCCCGATTCCTTTTAACTTCCCGAAAGCGGCCATTTGATACCTCCTCGTCGGGACTCTCAGGATTAGTTCCTTGCGATATCCTGACCGAGGAGGGGGAAAAAAAAAAACGGAGTAAAAAATCGCGGGAAAAGAAGAAAAACGAGGGCCGAGAGAGAGAGAGATCGATCGAGTCGAAACGGACGGGCTTTATTTCCCGAAGGAAATGAATGCGCTCTGTGCACCCTCCTTTTTGTCGCCGGCCATTCGAGTTTGTTAGGGAACTCAATTATTCCGGCTTTTTACGCGGTCTCCGTTTCTGCGAGAACCGTTTTTCCCGCCTCTTCGCCCCCTCCGATTTTCCGCCACGTCGGCGGTCACTTTTCCTCTATCGACAAATATACACAAACAACGAGCATTGATTGAAACCAACCTCATTTAATGCTCTTTTTTATGCCGCACTCGGTACGACTTTGTGCACTAAAGATGTATGAAACTTAGAAGCGTCATTCCATATTTTTTTTTATATAATAATTTAATAATTTAATAATTTAATAATTCCGTCCGATGCATCAGAAGCATAATTCTATCATCTGTGGGAAGAAATGTTACACTAGAGGGAAAGTTGCCGTTCGCCAGTAACGGGCATAAAATCACGTCGTCTCGCTGACGGTGAGCTTTGCGAAACGGATTTCCGTTTCCTGGTGCAGTTGCAGCTGCAGCCAGGAACTCGAGGGGCGGGTCCAGCCCGAAATCCCGAAAGAGCAGGAATCGGGGAAGCCGCAGTAAATGAACGTTTGCCAAGCGGCTTTCGAAGGTAGACAAAAGGCCTGAACGAGACTCAGGGGGGGGAGAGCGAAAGAGGACAGAGTCGATTCCGCACTTCCGCCTTCCCGGGGTTTTCCGGAAGTCGTCGTCTCGGCATTTCATCGAGTCTCGAGCCTCGCCAATGAGGCGAAGTCGTCGACTCCGCCGATATCGAATATCGGCTTCGAGGCGGCTCTCGATTTGACCAATCGCGATTGAACCCTCTCCGTCTCCCCCCCCTCGTCGCCATTGTCGGGGGGTTTAATGACCCGATCGAATTTGTGCACCAGGCTGACCCGTTATGCATTTCGCCAATGCCGGAATTGCATTCGGCGGTTCGCCGAACTGCGGGGCAGGAAAAGGACGATTATTCCCTTTTTTTTTTTGGAAAGTCAATTTTGAGCGGTAATTGGTTTTCTCTTGCACTTCGCGCAGGGATGATATCCCGCCCCCGGGAGAAATTCTGCAAAGGATCCGATGCACCCCGGTGCATCGACCGTCGAAGGACAAAAGAAAGTGCTGGTCGGGCAAAAAATCCCAAGCGAAACTAGATTTTAAAAAATGCACAGCCACCCTCCTCCGGTTCAAGATACAATGCCTCTAACGAGGCTAATTACTCTCGACTCGACGATCCAACCCCTCCTCCGCGACTCGGCATAACTGCACATGCATGCAACTGCATGGTCCATTTTTCCCGGATATCCGATTTCCCCCCTCCCATCAGCCTCAACTACCTCAAAATCCGAAGGTTAACCCGAAAATTCAGCACGTATCAACGAGTAAAGGAATCGGTGGAGGATCGGTCCGCGAGGGGGGAGGGGGTGGGATATCTGGGGCGGGAGGAGGAAAAGGGGAGGGAAACCCGGAATTGGGTCTGAACCGGGTCGGAGGTCACGAGGTGGGGGGCCGGGGGCAAACTAGGTCAGTAGCGGGTCACTGAGCTCCATGCCGACAAACAAACCCGACGAGAAATCCACCCTGGAGCCGCCCGTGGAGGAGGTCCGCGAATTAATTATAAATATAATTAATGGCAATTGCACCCCGACGATGCACCGGCCCCTCCAATCGCAGCCGGACCGGTCGAGTCGACCTCTCCGTGTACACTGTTTGGATTGCGGTGATGTTTGTTAACGGGCTCAAGTGCCCGTCGCGATTGGGGATGAGGGTAGTCGGGAGCGTTCGGGCATACTCGGGCGTACTCGGGTGTACCCGTCCGGGTCGAGCCAAACCGCGTTATGCGCCCCGGGCGTTTAGTGTATTTTTTATTCACACGGTGGGAGGGGAACTGTACAGAGGATCTCTTTATTTTTCCTGCCCCCTTTATTTCCCTATTTTTGGCGCGGGACGTTTAGCGGATTTTTTATTCACGCCGAGGGGAGAAACAACACGGAGAGATTTTATATGTCCCCTGTAAAAAACGTATCCTCCCCCCCCGCCACAATTTCCGGGTCCTTTCGTTTCCCTGGTGCATATTTCATTCGCGAGATGAAATCGAGCGAAACGACGTCTAGGATCACTTTTCGTTTATTTGTTCTATTTTTTTTTTTTCCACGAGGGAAATTACATATTCGAATTTTTTTGACCGCCAACCAGCCCCAGGATTGACTTGGAAAAAATTGATACGTTCAGATAAAATGACGATTTAGTCGTGGTAAATAATTTAAGGCGCTGTCGGAATCCCTAATTGGTAAATGAAATTTCAAGTAGGTCCGAAATCTTGGCGCGGTATCTTCTAGCCTCTCTCTCACTCTCCGTAATCTCAAGCTGCAGAAAACCAGCATTACAGCACTCGGGAGTGCCTCGGCGAAACTGGTAATTACTTTTGAGCCGGCAATTAGTGCAGCGCAAGCTTTGTCACCCACCTAGCCGGAGTGCAACGCACGAGTGCAAGGCTTTGACACGGGAGCTTGCACTCCACCAGTGGGACGAGCTCGCGTGCACCGTGCATCGCGACTTGGGCCTCGAGAGTTCGTCGACCCGGAAGACGGTTTACATCCCATTTGCACTAAAGACGGCTCAATAAACAATTCAGCGTGCAATCGACTAAACGCATACGGATGAAGGTACGAGACGACCGGAATTTACCCCGAAAGCTTTCGGAGCTTCGACCACCCATAATGAGTGTAACGCTCGCCGATTCGTATTTCACTGATTTCCGAGTAAAAAGGTAGGTTGATTAAAAATCGATGCCCCAGCTTTTCGGCAGCTCCTAATTGGCTCCACCAAAGCTCTGCTAATTGCAATCAGGATCTTCGCGGGAATTAGGCTAGGGGGAAAAAAAAAAAACTGAGCTTCCACGTACTCGCAGTCGACATTACGCCGACATCTCAATTAATTCGAGTCTACTCCATGAATCTTATTAAAACATGAAAAGGAAAAAAAAGAAAATTAAAACCCGAAGTCTCCATCCTCGTAACTCATGATGCAATGACAAGTACACCGAGGTGTAAGAACAAGTGCGCGCACTGTCCTCTGAAATATGTTAATAAAAAATATATCACCACGTTTCGTGGATATAAAACCAAGTGCACAAAGTTTATTAACATATTAATAAGTGGCGATAATGGCCCTTCGAGTTTTCGATATCCGACTCTTCCGGTCCTCTCGAGGGGTGCATGTGCACGAGTGCAGGGTGCATTCGTGCATGTGTTTCCCGAATCAGTAATTAGGGGGAGACTGTTTTTTCTTTTCTTTTTTTTTCCCCAGGGAAGAAGAGAGAGGCCGTGTCTATTCTTGACAGAGAGCGTTAATTAAAATTCCACGTCGTTTCGCATTCACAACACACCGCGACGGGGAACGGAACGCGGCTTCAATATTTCCCAACCGAGACATTTTATCCCCATTTCTTCTTTTTTTTCTCTCCCCTGCACTTCTCCCTCTTCCCACTTGCCATCGCCCTCTAACCCTTTTAATCCCTTCCCCCTGTCTGCCATCCTCACCCCTTATCCCACTCGAATGTTTCCGCTGCGTGCAGAAATTCTGGGACAGTGACGATCATTTATGACATATCCATATTTTACACATATATATATATATATATATATAATTTCATTGAATTTTCCACGTCTTATCGGACTGACCAGAATTTCAGTATTCCGGATTTCATAATTACCGGAACGAAATGTCCCAGGTTGTCGGGCCGAGTTTTCCCTTAGAATTATTAATCAGCCTCGCATAAACCTAACCTAACTCCATTCGACTGTCGAAAACCGGGGGAGTAACGTCGCCGGGTGCACGAGAGCTTTTCATTCACCAGGGGGTGGTTACTTATCGACCGGCTCGCAAGCTCAATGAAAGCGACGCGCGATAGTTCTGGCCGCGTCGTCGGAGATACGCGCGGCCAATCACCGCCCGAGTTTCCGAGTGTCGAACGAAGAGACGAGATGCGTCGTAAGCCCGAAGAAAGGGGATGCAAAGGTGGTACCTTGAGAAGGGACTAGGCCACGTGCCGGATACTCATCGAGGGTGAAAGCAGTCCTCGGGTCGACCCCTTCCTCCTCCCTCACAGGTATCCCAGCGTTGCTCCTTCGGGATGCGGGCGGCGACTGAGCTCGCGGCGACACGTGAGCCCGAACCGAACTCCGCCGAACCAATGCGGGCGCGAGCCGGGCGTCGCGCATGCGCAGGGATGATAAGGCCGCCGAAGTGGCGAGGCCGGTGGTGGGGGAAGCGGGCGGAGGAGCGAGAGAGACGGAGCGAGGCGGCACCCGCGGGAGCGAGAGAGACGGAAAAGGAGCCCGGCAGCCGACGAAGAAGATGGAGAGAGACGACGAACGCCCTGGTAAGACAGGTAAAGAGTCGGAGGGAAACGCGCGAGAAATCCAACCTCCGACTTCCCAGAGAACTGATCAACGGCTTCCGAAGCCCCGAGTTCCGGAATACCCGGATCCACGTCCCGAAACCGGAGAATACCGGGAAATTAATCGAGAAAGGAAAAACCGGGAAAGCGAACGATACCCCACTCCTGTTATTAAAAATATAATTTTATAACATTTTTTTTCGACGATTCAGACATGGCGAGACTTCCGAGTTCCGCGATCCAGGGAAATCGCGGCGCCCTCGAGACGTCGTAGCTCACCTTTGCGGGACGCATTAATTAATATTGTTAACGTCAGGACCGGTGAGCGCACTCGAAAGGCCTCAAAGCGAATCGTGCCTCGCAAGCACGTCGCCGAGCTTGCGCGGCTCCTGGCTCAGACGTGCTTGCGTTTCGAGACATTTCTCCCTCCCCGGCCCTTCGACTCCCCTCGGCCCTCTTTCTCATTCTTCGTGCCCTTCCATGCCGCTGTTTCACTCCTTTGTCAAATCTATGCACAATGGGCTTCAAAATTGCGTTCGATGGGGACGACTCTATATACTCCTCGAACAATGAAGCTTCCGACCTTTCGAACTCGCCCGAACTCGGCTCCGACTTTCGATACTCCATTTCTTCCTCTCTGAGGAAAATGTTCAATCCTCAATTGCTCATTATACCTGCAACATTACCGAGTCGTTCCATAAGTTCGCGCACAATTTCCATTTCATATCACCTTAAGTACTACGATTTCGTTGGGGAAACAAAAAGAGAATAAATTGATAGAAGAGATCCAGATCGCTGGGGACGGAGATGGGATTCTTTTTTTATTTGGCGGTCCAGTGAGCCTGATTTTTTCCCTTTTTTTTTTCCGGGTCGCATGGTCGAGTCGAACGGAATCATCCGGATTTTTTGACACTGTAATTGCCGGGGCGCAATGCATTTCCCGTGTTTATCGGCCTGGATACGTTTTACAGCCCCACGGGGTCAACTCCCGTGGGAACGCAGCTCGTGCCCAATCTCGGATTTATACGATCACGAGCCTATCTACTAAAAGCTGCCCCCATTAATAACTCTTAATATCTCCATGGGCAATTAATTTCCTCGATTATTTCCTGGGGCCTTTTTTCCCACTTTCGAGAGACATTCTCGCGGATCTGCGACGTTCCTCGAGGATGCCGCCCTTCAGGGGAAGATCGATGGATCTGTATTAATTATAATTCATTATAATTCATTATAATAATCGAGAAGTCCCCTCGTCTTCGGTTCGAGCACCGATACTACACTTTCTGCGGCGATCGACTCTTAACGAGCATTACCGAGGGACTTATCGCCTCTGTAATAAGGATTTCGTGTACCATCGGGATTCGCGGTTCTCGGTACGCGGTAAATCCTCTCGTACATATCCGATAACTTATCCCGAGGGTTACATGCTCCAGAGGCTTAATCCGCCTAACCTCGACGGTGATTATGATTAATTATGAGCACCCTAGTATCTATATTAATTGCTAATTAACGAATACACGGATGCGCACGTGGGGAAGGGAAAAATCCTTCCTGAAATTGGTAAATGGCTTCTTTAACTCATCTATCTCTCGTAACGAAATTTTAATTAAATTCTACGTTAATACCCGTGAAAGAATTAATAATACTTTTAATATCTATCATGTTTATATTGTAATTATTCTACAGGTTTCCCTGTAACTAATTCCCAGTTTTGCGGATAGCGAGCTGTCGTTTGCATTTTTGCGAAGCCGAGGGACGCGTTGTTGAACACATTGTTGGACATCGGGTACATTTGAAAAGCACGGGGGGATAAAAAAAGGGTGATTGAAATCACAAACATCGAATGTCCGGAGGTTCAATTTAAAAGCCAGCAGACCAGTATTCATACGTAGCATGCAAGCGTGAAGCATGTTTGCCCCCCATAAAGTGATCCTACAAACGATTTTATCTACAAAGCGCTGCATTTCAATCTCTCCGTGAGCTCCCTAGAAGCTCCGAAATGAACGTTCTAAAAAGTACACGTACTTCCCGTTAAATCCTAAAAAAAAAAGAAAGAACCACTTGCGCCAAATACGTCCTTTCCTAAAGGTCCATTCAATGTAAACCTGCCTGCAAAGCAGGGATTAATCGCGCAGGAGCAATGAAATCGGACACTTTTGCCGAACACGTTGTTAAAAAGAAAAAAAGTTGTCAGGTTTAAAAACTGGATAAATTGTGTTAAAATGAAATAAGAAGTGAGCATCCAGCCCTTGGGTATCGATGCCAAAAGTGCTTGTTATCTAAGTGAAAGTATCGAGCAAATGCTCGCATTTACTTGCATCACCGTTCATCTCTAGGTGCGCCTTCGTGTGGGAGTCAGGGTCGGTCGAACTCGCGCGGGGGTGGCGGAGGTTCTAGCGCCCGCCGCGTGGCGGCGCTGCGAGCCTGCTCCGCGATCCAATATGGCCGCCGCCCCGTGACACCACTTCGGCCGTGCACCTCGCCGCTTCCCGAGCACGGATCTACGCATCTCTGACGCACCCCGACTCGCCGACTGCACGTAAGTCAGGCCCAAATTAACTCGGAAGTTCACGCGGAAACCGCAACGCGGGTAATTCGACCCTGTGGCGTCGGTAAGTGTAAGAAAAGTCAACCGGAACGACCGACGTGCCGGCACACGGCTTTCGGCTCGGATCAATACCCCGACGAGCTGAAATGTTTTGACCGTGTATGCGTGTGCCTACTTATGCCGCCGAAAAGGCGTAAATCGATGCCTCGTGATAATGTTTGTCAAGAGGGCTCTCTTATCAGGCACTCGAGGGTAGAGTCTCGCGTCATGTACACCCGGGAATGCGCGACGTACGTCGAGGTTCGTGGCGGAGTTCCAAGGCAGGTAAATTGATTTTCGATTTTTATCCAGGTGTTTAGGCAGGCTTTTCCACGTTTCGATGGTAGGCATCCTCAAGGTCAGGCTCTTGGTGGAATGGGCGTTTGCCAAGGTAGAAGTTTACTCGGCCAGATCGGGGAAGAGGTCAAATGAGGTTACTGGATTAATGGCGATGTTCTCGGCTGCCTGCTGGTTCCCTAAACTCCGAGATGTCCGGCTGAACTTCCTACCCGGGTAACTTCGCATTTAGTTCCCGGATACCCTACTGACCTATATTTCTACCGGTGTCATTGCGATTCCCGCCTAGCTTGTTTTTATTTCCCCGTAAACACTGACCTGGAAAAGATTTCGCGAGACGGGAGCTTGAACCGTTCGACGGAGTTCGGTAACATTGCTGAAAGTGGAGTAACGTTATCCGTACCGTAGTTTCTGCACTTTATTAATCAATATCCCATTTTCGTGCAGTTTCGGGTAAACGTGGGAGTACCTCCAGGAGGAGAATGAAGATTTTCCGCGAGCGAAATTTTTTCCTCGCGAACTTACGGAACGACCCGATAAATGGGTACTTTTAGTACTCGCATCCGTCGCACTTACGTTTCCCCTCGGCGCAGGTAAAAGCGATGAAAACCTTCATTTTCCTCCGGGCGAGGTGCATTTACAGTTTTTCCTCCACTTTTCGCCCCTCGGCCCGGCACTCCGGGGAGCTTTAAGAGAATTTATCGAGGGAGAGGAAGGTGGACTGTGGGACCACTTACTGACTGGCCCCGCCACTTCCGGTTGCGCTAACTCCTTCTCCAGGTGGACCTCTTTGCGACTCGAGTGTTCCTCCATTCATAATGGCTTTAACGGAAACGTGAGCTTTGAGACCCCCGAAGAGGGACACTCGGGTTTCCGCGAAAGAGAAACAGTTCCCGAACTCCCATGTCGGCTTTTTCTCGAATTCGCTTACCTACATTTTTCTACCTTCCCCTGTGTCCGATCAGAAGAATTGCAAGACCAGAGAATACCTGAAAAATTTCCAGAAAATGAGGAAACATCCAGGCCATTGTTCGCGAAGAGAAGTGCTAGATTTTCTGGAACTGGATCTCTGGACCATCAGGGTGATAACAGCCGCGGAGCTTGACGGAGGCCCTCCACCAGAGGAAGAATTGTTCGTCATCGAATTCTCGGTAACAATGGTCCGGCGTATCTCCCTTGAATTGGAAGAGAAACGGGAGAAACGCCACTCTGGTCCAAATGGTGGTCCTCATCATCGACGTTCTTGGGGGAACCAACTCCTGGGGGCTCTCTAATCCATATCGACCTGTCTATACGCGGACCACCCCACGCACCCCGTGGACGATTCTCATTCTAGGACCTCGATGGAAACGGCGTGACGTCTTTTGCCAATTTTCGGGACGAAGATACGGAAAGTCATCCGGTTGGATTAATACATCTTTTCGTGCATCTTCAAAACCTGCACAGGGCAAAACCAAAAATTTTGCCCTGCATTTAGCGAAGACTCTTCGGGGTCCACTTCGTCACCCAAGGGGTGGAATGATTTTCTGAAGGACGGGATATCGCGAATCCAGATCTCCTGGGGGATGGAAACGTCTCTCGGATCGTCGTCCATCGCTCCGGCGATGGCCGGGCAAGGGGACACCGCGAAAATGGGAAAGCTCGAGCTTTTAGGTCAGCCGATGTCATCGAGTAGGTGTGTCGGAGGGTCGACATCCGGTATCGCTATATCGTCCTGGGGACCGCGGAAACATTTATTGATCAGTCGCGAATCGACTCGTGAAAGGGTGCCAATCACTCCCCAAGTCCGGACGAGTCGCGAACGTGTCCATCCAGTTCTGGGCTGACCTAGAAAAGCCCACCTACAACCTACGGGTAGGAGAACCTTCGTCAAGATCGGATTTCCTTCCCGAGGTTCCGGTGGATCCGGTAATGGCGCCCAGTATTTTATCCCCGAATTATTTTCCGCTTCGAGCCGGAGGCGGAATGGCCGCACTCCATCAGCGAAACCGATTGCACTACGTACCGAGGCCTGCACTTGGCAAAACGATGCCAAAACAATGCCAAGATCTATAACTCTGAAGATAAAATGTAGAAAGTGTAATAAAAAAAAAATAAGAAAATAAAAATATAGCGATACACCGTAACATGGTCAATGGGGAACAATGGTCATGGACGAGGCCTAGGGATGAAGTGGCCACTGCGAGGATCTTCAGGGCGAAACAATGGCTCCTTTTCAATTTCCAGCGGTTCGATGAGGCTAGAAACTCGGAAGGCCGAATCGGAGAGAGGAGGATGGAGATTCGGAGATTGTATGGATGAAAGGGGAGAGAAACTAGGACGAGGGAGATGGGTTGCCCTGGCTGGGGCCAGTGACTCGGGATCGTCCACTTCCAGGGAGATGGGGATTGGGGGAAGCCAGCTGCAGACGGAGAAGTCCTCGAAGGAGGGGAAACGAGAAGGAGATTGGAGGAGAGAAGAATCCAGAGGACGGTACAGGTGGAAATGGAACAGGTGGGATGCGTAAACCTGCTCGCTGGGGATAACAAATATCTGAAATTCCCGGTTTTATCTATAAATATTAATTCAATATACATGTAAAAGCCACCATAACCCTCCAAAATGATAACCAATAACCCGGCCGAATACTTGACAACCGTTGGAGCGTTCCATTAAATTCTTAAAAAATTCCTGCGCGGCTGCAACTGCGAAACTGCTGCCATAAATCATGCCCCAATTAGCTGGGAAAGTCTAATGGAAAAGTCGTGTTTCACCCCGGTGAGGAGAGCTCCTTTTTCCACGGCAGTTTCGACCGATCGAACGCCGCATCGCGAATGGGATCGACGTGATTTCTCTTTTTTCATCTCCTCTGGACCGAATCTGACGTTAAAGACGGAGAGGACGGATCATTTCCCAGGGATATGTCTTACGGGGAAAATTTATGGGGATGAAGCCACCTCTTTCGCTCACTCCCCATGGCTTGTGCGTTTCCTCGTTCCTTTGAGGGTAAGCTCTCGTTACTGTCACGCAAGTCGAGCTTAAAGCTCCGACGGCGGTGCATCGTGGTCGTGCATCCTGGGAACTCGGTCACTGGGTCGACATGCAGATGCAGCTGCAGTTTCCAGGGCGACAACGTCCCGACTATGGACCACCCCCTGCGAATTACGGGAAAACTTGCCCTTAACTTCGTCGTTATTCGAGACTCGATTCTCTTCTAAGGAAGGAAAGAAGAGGCAAGGGCTACGGAAACAAATCATATACGTATACGATACGTATAAGCGACGTATAAATTCTGGTTTATGGGAAAGGCCAAGAAAAAAATGATATTCTGGTATTAATTCTTGGTTTTTTAATACCGCGGGGATTTTTTGGGGGGATATTGCGATTACCTGTAATTAGTTATTAGGATTAAATTTTAACTGTGCAGTTTTATGGAATACTTTGTTTACCCTGATACCGGAAGCTGTATAGTGCCAAGGGACCTTCAAAATCCTCATTTCCAATTTCCAGCACGAAGCAGCAGCCCCTTTCCTCAATGGATTTGTGATTGACGAAATTACGGATGAATGCTATTTAATTTCCGTCGACCTCGGTGTTTGCTAGTATTTTAATTAAAAGCTGTCCATATTCGTAGCAATTGACCGTCCCATCAGTTCCGTCCGAGCGATGACAGTCTTTTCGGTTGGAGGGGAATAATAACGTCTGGTTTGAAATATTTCAGAGAATTTAGTTGATTAATTAGAAATGCACTGATTTGAGGGTAGAATTTATGCTTTGCTGTTTCAGCAGAAGTCGGGAGGGAAGATTTTCAAGCTGGCTCCTTTCAAGCTGCGCTTCGCGAAGCGCACGAAGTCGCGCGGAGAGGGCGAAGCGAGTCGCAGCAACAGCGTGGAGTGCGAGGAAACTAATCAGCAACAAGTCGAACCCGTTCAATCGCTGGTCAATTCTAATAGTAGACCAGGAACTCCAGCCACGGAAGGGAATCTTGTTACCACCGGAAACGCGATTCCCAACTCGCCGCCGCCATCTTACGAGCACGTTCTCGAAGAAGTAAGGAAACGTGGAGTTGACCCTTATTCAGAAATTGGGGTTGTCCATTGTGGAGTATCGCCTTTGACGCGATCATATTTAACGTGGATTACATGCAGGGTGTCATGGCGGGATGCTAACATGTTACGACTCAGACAATACGACATGTACACCGGTTACAAATTTGCATTGACGTCAGCGGGCATCTTCGGCACATTCTGCAGCAGTTAACTATTTTCGGCTGATTGAAGTCGCCATAAACCTTGAGTCGCGGGCATTGATGAAATGTTATCCAGCCATCGTTAAGCCGAGTCTCGTAGATGCAAATTATGACCAATATTTTAAAGTAAACGCAGTTTGGGTGCCTAGAAAGAATATAGATTTTTTTATATACTTCTGGCGCCGTAAGTACAGGTGACCAGTTATACAGCTCCGTAAAGCGCGGTAGTATACTTTCAGGGGCACGTTAAAATTTCCGACTTCCTGCCATAAGGATAATTTTTGTCAAATTCAATTTAATTATTTTCCACGAATTGTATATCCCTGATTACGTGTTTAAATGATTGCATAAGCATAAGCAAGGTCCTTTATTATCGATTAGGAGAATATTTATGGCTACTTGATACGGTGAACAGTATAATATAAATGTTACGGGTTTTAGGCTAATTAATTGCGTCCACCTCGATCAGTTGGAATACGGGACAGTTCCAATTGGACAGAATCCGATTAGAAATCGTGTGTACGACCGACCGTATACGCAATTGACTCCGCGCATGATCGACCATGTGTACAATTAACCGTACGTACGACTCATTGCGCGTGTAATTACTCGGACACGCAATCCCCGTGCACACTTCAGTTTAGCAAAAAATTAATCCACGCGTACAGGATCGCCTATTTAATTTATCCACTTGTGCAGCAATCAATTATCATTCCCAGCCTTCGGCATTCACCGGGCTCTTTTTGCATAAAATTACCCCGTCGATTGAACATTCTCACCGGCGTTCCCCTCAATTTTATAAAGTGCACATGTACACCGTGGACAGGTTGATCTCGTCACTGTCAGCCTTTCAAAATCTTCTCTCGTGACATCCGTGCGATCTCGACAAATAAAAGAAGAAACCTGCTTGCGACCAATTGCAATTTCCCGCACTGATAAAAATCGATGGAAATTTACGATGAAATTATTTACACACCTCGTAAGCTGAAGTTTGACGTTGCAAAACGTAAAAGTGAGAGGATTAGAAATTACCAAATATAGAAATACAAATAAATGCATTGGTGCACTTTAACTTGAATTAAATGTAACGTTACGTTATAATTTTCTTTCACTTCAATTAGGGGTGGATATTACGGAGATAATGTGATTTTACTGCAATTTATTGCGGCATCGAAATAATTAATTTAAATATACATGGTCATTTTTGTCAGTGCGATAATATTGATAACAGGAGTTTCCTTTAAATTCTCGTGGATTTATTTCACCTCACGGCCTGTTATCTTATTTTTAGTTTTCGTACTTTTCTTTATTTCGCGGTTAAACATTAATAAGTGCCACTTTAATTGATCGCAGACGCGACTTGTACAGTCGACCAGCAACACGCAAGAAACGGAGGAACAGGACGAGGAGATGGAGGAGCAGATGAGACAGGAAAGAATGGCGATTCGAGAAAGTAGCACAGGAAGTGGAGGAGGTCCTGGAGCGACGATAAGAACCCCTGCGAAGGGTCCAGAAATCCTGCACAAATCCAGCAAAGAACTGTACAGAGCCGTGGCAAAACAATGGGGAATCACTTGTAAGATGAGCGATCATTGCAGATGCCTCGACTGCCAGGTGAATATTGTTTCGTCGATACAAAAACAAAAAAAAAACGCCCGACCACCCTTTGCCACCCCTCCAGCGGTTTTATTTAAGTATCCTATCTCAAAAAAAAAATCATATTCGCGAACAAATGAAAGAATGGAAGGTTGCATTATTGAGAATCCCATAAGAGGGGAGCAAGTCGAAGGTGGATGTATGATCACGTTTTTGGTTATGATACGTTTATGATACGTCGGAAGGGTGGATTTAGGGTGTTGATCGGTGTGTTTGTTGTTATCATTTAATTTAGTTTAGGGTTTGAACTGCTTATAGAGTCATTATTTCGACTGCGAGTACGAAAAGGACGAGCAGGAGAAGACGGATGGCGGACTCGGGGCTGGGACACCTATGTTCATCTCTGAAATGATGCATGGGGCAACTTGTGTCATCTTGTAAGTCATCGAAGGGAATGATCTTGACTGTTATCGAAAATCCCTGGAGGAAGACTCCAGGACGATGCCTCGGCAAGGAGCTGATAAGGTCTCGACTTTTCGGATAAGGGAGAGGCGAAATCGGGAATTACTTTCGCGCGATCGCTAATCGATGTCGACACTCCGATAACGTGCACAAACATAAGGTAGACCCTGAGGAGTCGCATCTCGACGTCGAGGAAGTTTTGCGAGGTGTTTCACTCTCTTTCCTTTTTTTTTTTTTTTTTTCTACTGAGACATCTCGAGTATATTAATCATACATACTGTGTATTTTATGCCGAAGAAAGGCGACGCTATGGGGGAAACTTTGCCTTTGATGGAAGGACAGAAGGGAAGCAGATTTTCTAATCAATTCAATTCTTCTTTTTTTTCTTCTGATTTTAATTTAACCCTTTGAGTGAATTTTAAAGCGAGCTGTATAGTCGTGTGACTACGGAATTATGGAGCTTCGCTTCGACTGAATTAACGATAGAATTATAGCAGATTATATATTTTGTATGTCGAAAGTTTTGTATGTCCAAGGAGGAGTGGAGATGGCATTGGAATTTGTTTTTTATTTTTTTTTTTTCCACTTGGTTTCTTTTCCCCTCGCGAGAGGGTAGAGAGGAGTTTTTCATTTTCTAATACTACACCGACCAACGGATACTAATTTAATCAAAGTAATCTACAATTTCGTCGGTAGCTCCGAAATTGCGGAGTCCCTCGTTTACCCCGTATTTACATTTACTGCGAGGTTATGTCTATATAACGCGATATATATATTCCTACGGTATCCGTCGAAGCAGTGACATAACTTGATATTGCAATCTCGTTGAAAAGTCGCCGTTATTTTTCTAAAAGCATCTAAGCAAATCACGGCGAACGAGCCTAACCGCTCTCTGTCCAGGAATTTGACGGAGTGTTCCAAGAATTATATGGAATATTCCAGGAATGTCGCGGGGTCTTCGAGGAATTTTTTCTCTCGATTGGAAGACATCGAGGGTCGTACTTCCGGATGAGAAAAATCCCCAAGGTCCACTGGACGATTGTAAAGATTTTTTTTTTTCAAAACTTAACATGGGAACAGCGACAATGGCGCGCATGGTGTAACATATATCTCGATGGCGAATTAGTCGAAATAGTCCATATAGTCACGTCCCAAAACGATGTCGTGTGTGTTTGTTTAGGTAAGCGGTAACGCGTAAATGTTAATTGTGGTGAAAAATGTGCCTAACCGAGTGGCACCCTCCACGAAATTAGGTTATCCTCGCCGAGTGACAGTTTTGATCGTAGAGAGTATCGTCGCGATCAGCTGACTGCGAAGTGTACGTGAAATTTTGCGAAACGAGGACTAAAACTATTTCTAGTCTGAGTAGCCTAACACGTGTATAGAAAAATAGCCGAAATCGTGCTCGGGTTACCATTTAATTCTTAAAGGTAACGTTCACACCGACTGTGGTACAATTACGAAATCGTTCCTACTATTCGAAGAGCTGTTACACGATTTTGGCGATTCTTCCTCGATATTGTACACGGAATTAGATATATAGCGTCAATTTATAACTACGATCCTAGCTCTAAGGACTAACCGGAAGACTGTAGTTGGCTACGGGGGAGGTTCTCGAGTTGTCCCATGATTTCCTAAAGACTCTTATCGCGGTTAACTTCTTTCTCTTAAATGTCATATCAATAGAGAATCTTACGTTTGTTATTAATCTACACCTGGTTTGCGCTTTGTTATCAATGATAGATCCTTTAGAGATTTTATGAGATCATGGAACAACTTAATGTGAAATCTCTGTACAAAGTCATCGGTGAGGTGACCCACTCTGATTGGTAGTTATCGATAATTTCTTTAGAATCGGTCGCCTAATTTAGTCTATTTTCTAACTGAATCGTTCTCCCTCGATGGTCCTAATCGAATTCGTTGCTCTACAGTTTGGTACCGTAGAACATCTAGATAGATTACGTGGATGTCGACGAGAGGAAAGGCACCATACCGCCGTAGGGGATGGTTACTCGAAAACGTATGAAAGTATTAATCCATCGATCAATTAACGTCGAAACGACCTAGGGTGGCTTCGACCATGTGGATGTCGCACAGTAATGTTAAACCTAAGTAAAGTGTCGCACAAGTACTAGGTAGATACGACTTATCGAAGCGATCGACAGCGAATGACTTTTTTCTTCTCTGGATTTTCCGGTGATGGGCGTTCGTATGCACAAGGCGGACCAAAAGAAAAAAAAAAAAAAAAAGAAGAAGGAATTCTAGGACCTCTTGAAATTTTCCTCCATTTCTACGATTCAAGTTTTGCCGAAACTTTACCTTTAATACGTTTCAACGAGGAGAATCTGAATAACATCTTCATTGACGTGTCCTTTACGAGCCATCCTTTGAAACGCCTTTTTTCAAGGAGTCCTGCATCGTTGACTCTTTTTTTACATCACGCCTATTTTTATATACATCTCGCCAAAAGCATTCGTGTTCAACGGCAGGTCGGTTCTTTTTGAAGAAAGTGTTTCGAAGGAAGGTGATCAGAATAGAATGAAACGCGAATGTCAAATTAGGTAAAGAGCGCCACTCGCTGGAAACGCAATGCGTGCCTTTACGTATAATTGTTTACCTTAATTACAAGACAACTGTCTGATTTTATACTACACTGGAACCGTTCCTAACGAGACTTCACAAGCCAGGCCTAAGAGAAAACCATAAGCCTAGAGAGAACTTCCTTTTTATTCTAATTATCTTAATTTTAGGTGCACTCATTAATGCATCGAGAACAGAACCGCAAACTAATTGACGGCCTTTATAACGCGTTAATTGATCATTCCCAACATCCAATGTCGAGATGTCATTATTTCTCGTTAATCTCACTTTCACCGTTAACTCTTCTCCTGGGAATAATTTTGGGGATGATTAAAAATCACTACGTTGTTGCAGCTCAGCTGAATCTCTTTTTGTTTTCTTGTTCTACTTTGCCACGGCCGGGGAAACAAAAAAAATGCAGAAACGCACGCGTGCGTGCCCCTCAATATGCGTGCCTGGATACACGTGCGCGTAGATGGTGCATTAATTTCTAATGTTTAAGAAAACAATGTGAATACAATGGCGCAAGAGGTGGAGAGAAGGCGAGTCTTTGCACGTCGATGTAATATAACAAACGGCAGTAATAAAGAAGGCCTAAACGCATTACACGCGTGTTTAATCGTAAATCGAGGTTTACATAATCGCGCCCGAGGGAGCGGCTCGGTTTATTTTGGCATTTTTTTTTTTTTTTTACAGGGAAACGGCGATTCGATCTTCCTCGAGCGGTGACGGCATTAAATTGACATTAAATTGGGTAAATTTCGGGAGGAATTTATGGCGCTTTCACTTAGAAAGAGTCCACTGTTAAGCACTTATGCTTCGCATTCTTGCGGCGTGATAGGTCGAAGGGAGTTAGAAAGTAAAGTTAAAGGTAGACCGCGTAGACGCATTCCCTCGGAGGTTCAACAGGTGTTTCGTGTTTCTGCGGTATAACCTATGTAGAATATAATCGACGTCCGAGGAAAAATCCCAACAACGTGGGGAAGAGTTCCCGTTACAATTACGACGGCAGCTTGAGGTTGGATATTTTTATTTTCTTGCAAGCAAGGTCTCGCAGTCGTAATGGCGAGTCTTGGGCCTCTAGAGGCCAGGTACTCTTGTGATCCTAAACAAAGCGCATTCCTCTTCGGTTTCTTGCGTTTACAGGGACGCCAAGTCGAAACGACGTGCGGATATACGGTCTGAAACACTTTTTAGAGGATTAGTTTCGGAGCTTTTCAGCTTAACGGTGACGAGTGAATTATTATGAATGAATAATTATTTAAAATCGATATGGAAGATAAGTGCGGTACCTTAAAACGAGTCCACTTAAGTAATGACACGTTTTGAGAGGAGAGGTTCAAGAGATGCTAATTCTTTCCGCTCGACCTCAATGACTGCGAATCACTGGGAGTCGTGCAGTATGCACTCCTGCATCTCTGCATTACTCTGACGTCACGCTCTGCTCACGTGGCCGTATTAGTATTACGTATCAATCGAACGCGATGCAACACATACTACTTGCACATCTCCATGTCCCTCTCTTCCTCCGATACTATTTCCGTAATTCGCCGACGGTCTTTCTCTCTCTTTCTCTCTTCCACGGTAATAAGCTCCTCCCGACAAACCTTCACCATTGCTCTCTCACAATGATCTCCTCATACCTATAAAAAAAAAATGGATATTCATTTCCAAGCTTCAAAAAGTCGTAACTTTATGAGTTAACGTTTCTCTAGGTACTTTCGTTTCTCTCCCTCCGGTCACGTGGCAGATCTCTCTTCCTCTCTTGCCGAGTCGCTCTGGTCACCTGTCTCCGTCTCCCTTCCTCTCGTGGCTTGGCGATACGTCGCTCTCCGTCGCACTTACGCGCGTATGCGGGCGCCTTTACCCGCGTTTCTCTATCTCTCCGCTACCTGCATCGCGTATCCCCTCCCCGGCCTCCTTCTTTCTCTCTCTAACCCACATGGGCCCGCATCGTGCCTTCTCTCTCGGCTGCGGCCATGCGGGCCCTTCCCCCACCCCGCTCCGCCATGCCGGACCCAGCACGGCTATTTCTCCAGTCACGTTGCCGGACTACGGCAGTGTCCGTAAGACCGCCGCGAGGTCGCCATCGTCTGTCGATACTCCGGCCGTTTTTGCCCCTCCCATGCTGATCGAGAGGTTCGCCGGAAATGGGGAAGACGGCCAGCAAACTCAAATCTCGACGTAGTCAGAGTTAGTGCAATATTTTACGCTTTCATTTCTTAATGTCCCTGCCTCATTACCTCGTACATAGATTGCCAGTTGCGTATCCGTTATCTGTCTTTCAGCGACTAGACGTCTTTTAGCCTTGAATGTTAGGCACGAGGAAGGACACCCTATTCCTTTATCGTTCCGTAATCCTGAATTTTCATGGTGACATATATTGGGGAGGACTACGTGCCAGTATTTTTGGGTTAAATTTTTCATTCTCACTTTTTTCATTCTATTTTCTTATTTTATTTGTTACGCCGAAACCTCATGACGAGGGCTAGGAATTTTCTTAATTTAGTCCTTGGATCTATCCAGAGCGTGTATTTCAAATTATGCCGTTTTTCGTCGAGATTTCGGGGAAAAGAAATATTACGCGAGATTTGGACGTTGCTATTTCATGTCCGGAGGACAACTATCTCTTTAGTCGCACTGCCGAAACGTGATCGGTGTCCACACGACCGTAGCAGTGTCATACGCGACATTCCAACGAGTCCTACTAGTTCCACGTCGATCCTGGAACCGGACAGGAATCGGAACGACAAACGTCATGTTGCGAGTAGTTAAAGTCCACCTCCGAAATGTCTCTATTACTTGGATAAAACAATAATCAAGTTCGATCCCCCCAGGAAGAAGAAAAAAAAAAAAGTCAACCCGTCGACCAGGAAATTCCGAAAATCCGAAATAATTTCGATGTACTTAGATTTTTAATTACCAGGAGGAAATTCATTGCAATCCTTTGGAAAGTAACTACAACAACCGGGAATCTGCGAGAATCGCGAAATCGGCGAGATTGAATTTTTTTCTATTTTTTTTTTTTCCATGCTTTCCTTTTATCTCCTTTCTTTTGAATTTCCCGCCGGAAGGATGGGATGGCAATTTATGTATATGTTTTATTGTTTATGTATATGTTTAAATACTTGGTAAGGGAGAGTGGCTCGACTCGGTTTTCTGCCCGAATATGTTACCTGGGTATATATCGTTATCAAGAACGTCAACATAGATAGGCAAGAGGTGGGAGCCGAATCGATCGGCTGGTCTCCCGTATCGATTCTCTCCGTGGATACGAAAGAACTTTTTATCCGACCTCTTTCCTTTACATTTCTCACCGTTGAAGAGCGATGAGAGAAGAGGAATGCCCGCCTGCCATTTTTAATCTCATGGGAGGGGGGTTTATGTCGAATTGATATCGAGGCGAATTATAATTGGACGCTTAATCGGATCTCCCCGCGAAATCTGGCTCGAGTTCGCTCGAGTTTGGCCGCTCTTATAAATATTATTCCCAGGCCGTTCCTTTTCTCGGAACGACTCGCCACGTCCCCGTGTTTGTTGACTTTAGGGAAATGGAAAATAAATTTACACGACGCCTCGACTGCATCTTGCATCGGGATGCAAGCGCGCCATTAAACAACGCGTCCAAACGATCCCGACGTTTACTCTTTCTTTTTTTTTTTTTTCACATAATTTTCGAAGCGTTATTTACATGACACGTTCTAAAAGCGTTAAATATACATGATGCATATTAACGCTCATTTAAGAATGAATGATTCGTTCAATTGTTATATTTTACTCGGTGCAATTTGAAGGGAGGCGTTTTCGCGCGTCGAGATTTCCGAATTTTTTTTTTTTCGAGTTACGCGACACGGGATTTGTTTTTTTGGTTTTTTTTTATTATTTCAGAGGGTACCAGAAGTGCAGGGAACAAGGCAACGGTTTGTTCTGAATTTTCGAGGCCGCTCCAGGTGGAAAATATGCGCGATAGCCGAGGTTAAGTGCGCATACTTATCTCGGCATAAACGGCTTTATCGCCGGCGTTACGTTGGTTGCCGGATAGTTATACGGCCACGCACATCTGCATTCCGCCCGGTATTTTTTTTTTTTTTGACTGTCTTCTTTATTTATGATTTTCCTTTTATTATCTTTATAACGCCGAAAGCATCGTCGCGCACTAAACGGAGTATTTGGATCTTGCTTTCAGCGGCTCGAGAGAGGAATAAATCGTTTAACAAAAATTTTCGATTCAATTTGTAAAGACTGAGGAATTTTTTGCCGACGAGTAATAACCCTATATCGATCGATTATGAATTCTAAGGCTGATCGATTTTTTTTTCAAACTCCTGGCAATCTTGTACGAGCGTGAAATCCCACCTCCATTTTTTATCCTAATGAGTTTTATCTCCAGTGGATATTATTTCTTTTTTTATTCATGCCGAGTATCGATTGTTTTATTAATTTCTGCGAGAAATGTGATTGCGAATTTATGGAACGTCTCCTAATTTCCGCATCCGGTGCGCGGTTTATTCACTTATTCAGGCATCGCGTGGAGCTTCCGGTTCCCCTCGGTGGGCACTCTCCAAAATTTGGGCACCGGAAATGGCCGGCGCCGGAAACGAGACGGCCTCCCTGGCGCCGAATCCAGCAGGGATCTTCGCTCGAAGAGACACACGATCCACCTCCAACCGGAAGTCGTGCTTAGGAACGAACCGACCCTGGTCGTCACTCCGCCTTCTCCAGAAGTGTTCAATAGACGAGGACACCGGTAATTATGATTCCCCCAGATTATTACAAGGTGGCGACTTCCAGGCCGATTTGGCAACCCGTTTAGAAAGGAAATCCCCGAGGACTTATTCATAAGCTAATTTGAAGATCAATCGAAGGTCCGATTTTTCATACCTTATTTCTCAAATCTCATTTTGAGATATTCAATCCCAGATCCTCTCTACCATGGTTTATTCGCTTTCGGTATCTGTGTACTTCCTCGAGCAAAAAGTACGCTGCAATTAAATTTCATTTGACTTACCAGCCAATTTGGGAATAATATCTAAGTCGTCTGAAAATCGATAGTCAAATTAGTGTGGTAATAATTGGCGTTAATAATGAGAATTCATGCATAAAATTGCATGTGCACGTGTACTTAAAATGACGCCAGCTTGCACAGGCATGGCGCAGAAAACGCGGCCTTTTTTGGCCAGTCTGCAGATATATCCGGGATGAGAATCCGGGATCAGTGTTCCCTAATTATGACCCATCTATGGTGGACGAGAACTGCACCCTTTATTCCCTTTTTACGAGCTCGCCGAGGACGAGGGCGAATCGTTTTCTCGTACTCTTCCTCCACCTCGACACTGTAAGGACATTCAGGACTTTAAGGTGGTATGAATGTTGGATGTATCGAATGGACTAAAATCTCACCAGGTGATTCTAGAGACCCTAAGGAAGGTCACCACGTCCGTGGGATTTAACCTTCCTTCGATTTCTTTATTAACATCCTTTTAATTCCTTATTAAACGGGAAATTCATGGGATCTCCATTTTTAATTAGGAAGATCTCTTCAAGAAATTCCCTTTCAGGATTTCACCGGGAGATTAATTGAATTTATTTATATTAATTGAATTTATCATTTGATAATTGTATTCCCGATCGTTTACAGAGGTGGTGCAGTTTCCGTTTCGTATTTTGTCTTTGTTTCTTATTTTGTCTTCGTTTTTAATTCTTTTTCTCCTCGCCTCTTCAAGATGGCCGCCTTGACGCGCTCCCCTGCCATCACGGAGAATTGCTAGTGATAGCAGTTTTAATCAGAGACGCCGTCGCGAAAGGTAGTATTCTCTTCTGCGAATGAATTTCTTCGCCAGACCTCGTCCCCTGCACTTTGCTGCACCTGCAGCTCTCGTTGCACCAACGGGCGCGGACGTGCGTATGCAACGTTATCGATGCAACCCGAGGAGAGGAATAATCAAGACGGCATTAAAGCCTTCCACGAATTGTTTTCATCCCCCTATCGCAGATGCATCGCCGTAGCGATGCATACCAATCCGCCATGGACAATTGCATACAATTGCATCTTAAGGCGACGCGAAAGTGATCTCGTTTATGAAACTTAACTCCGAAATGTATGTGTAAAAAAATGTCATTTTTCAAACGACATTTTTCCACGTGGACAGAAAAGACCCCGAGACTTCCATCTCCTTTCAAATTCGTTCACAACAATTTCATTTTGTACATAGAATATAATTTCACGCCATGAAGAAGGAAAGAGATGTTTTCTCGAACGGTGGGGACATTTTATTAATTATCTCTTTGGAACGAGGAAAAATTTCTTTGAGAGTTAACGAAGGCTCAATGAGTTCTCTATCTGTCAGGGTAGGCTCAGGAAAATTCATATCACTGTTAAATGAGAAACCTCGTTTTTTTTCCCCTGAATTATTTCGAAATTACATTTTGGTTTCATGGGATTCTCTGATATTAGAATTTTTCACGATTGCACTTGGAAAGCTGGACCTCGGTTAGATGATCAAGGAGGCGGGTCTCCAGGTGTGAGTCGTTCCTCTCGTTAGTTTCCACGTCTTCCTAGGAGACGATCGAATATCATGTCGCCGGGGTGCAGATCCGGGGGAAAAAGTGCATCCGTCCCGGCCCTATCGAGCGCATCGCCGCGCGGACACGCGCAGAGTGCATTCTCGGCCTACCCCTCGCGGGCTGCGCCCCTGTCGAGGGGCCTCGTCCAGATCGATAATTCTCTACGCAGGTCCTACCGAAGAACCGCTCCCAGAGGAACTAAAAGGAAAAAAAAGCAGCCCAAACCCTCGGGAAGAAGTCATTCGGGGGGGCGAATCGATCCGGTTTTCCACCCGGCGAGACGACCCCTGAAAAAGGGTGCATGGCGGGGCGAGAATGGAAATATGCACCGTGCATTCGGCCATCTACATGGAGTGGGGAACCAGGTGCCCAGGGGCGGAGATGGAACCCCCGGAAATCCTATTTCACGAGCTCGAGTCGCCGACTAAACAGGATTATCCAGGCCCACAGGAATACCTCATTGATATGCATGCACCTTTGGCTTTAGGGCTGCACCCCATAGACTCATTCGCACCTCGGTTTTAGGGTTATATGACCGTTTTCAAAAGTGAGACATTTAGCCCTGACTAGTTTTGGGCATATTTTATTTTCCTACTAACTCGTCCTGGGTAATTTCGATTAAGTCCTATTGTTGGGAGGGAGGATAAAAGAAATTGATATGTCCGCCGGTTTTGAGGGTTCAAGTGGATTTTCTCGATTTTCGAGGAGGGTGTCGATTTTTCTTTTTTTTTTTCATTCTAACAGTTTCGGTCCTTTAAATGAGTTCATGGATTATATTTATTTCCGATGGGTGTTCGGTGAGTTTCTCGATTTTCTAGGGTGGGTTTGTGGATTTTCTCGATTTTCGAGGAGGGTGTCGATTTTTCTTTTTTTTTTTTTCATTCTAACAGTTTCGGTCCTTTAAATGAGTTCATGGATTATATTTATTTCCGATGGGTGTTCGGTGAGTTTCTCGACTTTCTCGATTTTTTAGGGGCATCTGGGTGCCCCAGGTGGCACGGCCCTGAGGAGTACAGGGACCGACGAGAGGCTCGCTCTCTCAGTGGGGTGCGCGCGCTCGTCGCGAGCCAAACCCTAAGTCGAGGGTCCGAGACAGAGGAACTCGAAAAAGGAAAATCCCCATCTCGGGATGGACCACGGGAGTGACGATCACTTTTAATCTCAGGGTGGCGGTTCAAGGCCAGGACCAGGAAGAGTCGACCGACCTGGTGGACGCGAGTCCTCGGACCGACCTGCGACCAGGAGACCCCGAGAGGAACAACAACCTCGACCTGTCCATGGTGAGTGTCAACTCGAAACTCCTCCTCCCCATAAATATGATTCGACAGGAAGGAAAAAGGAAAAAAATATCATCCATCTCTGGGAGACGGAGGAAGGGCGGATTTTTATGGGGATACTCGGTTCGATACAATTCATCCAGCAGCCATTCGCAGGATGAGGTGAAAAAAAAAAACAAAAAAAAATCAAAAGGAGGTGGACACGAGCGAGTGGGTGGTTCTCGAGTTCCTGGGGATGTTTCATGGGGGATGTAGAGGTGATAGAAATTGTATGGTACTCGAAGCTTGATCATAGGAACCCGTGGAAATATGGTGAACCACCATTGGACGTCGACAGGGTCGAAAAAAAAGGTTCCATGGGGAAAGCCCGGGAGATTCGGGGCGATTTTTATACGGAAAAAGAGGAGGCAACCTTGACCTCTCCACCATGAATCATGGCGTTTCGCCGTGGAGGGTGAGATCGATAATATGGAGGAAACCTGAAATAGGAGAGGTGCCAAGGGGGCCGCGTGATATTAATTTAGGATTTTTTCAAGAAGAGTTTATATGTACTCGTGCCGAGAGCCGTTCGACGTACAAAGATGGATATTCATAGACCGAGGTTGTCACGTGGTGGTTTCTTACGGGTCGACGACCGAAAGTCGAACTGGAACGTCTTCGAGAACTCTTCTAATAGCAGGTGGATGGAAAACCTGAAGCCACTCCTTGTCCCTAAAAAATGAAAAATAAAAAAAAATACTAATTATTTACACGTATCGGAGATTAGTAGATGAAGTAATTAAGCTCGGGAGGATAAACAACGGGTACTCATTAACCGTGTTAGTATCCAATAGCACCGGAGAAGCTTCACGAGTTTCCATTCTCACCTGCACTTTCACCCGCAGGTAGCATTTATACTTCCCAGGAACCGGCGCTTGACCTTTCGCACCTTCGTAAGTTGTAAGCACCTCCACCTTGGGCAACCTATCTGCACACCTGTTGCAGGTGCCGATACCCGGTGGTTGATAATTTTCATAATTTTTTTTTTTTTTTTTTCATGCTAGTTTACATTGTCACACCCGCCGCAACTTGGTACTCCTGGAAACAATGGAATGTCGGTGATTGCAAAGTCGACTTTTAGGAGGAGGGTATTTACGACGGTTGATAAGAGATCGATCGCCGTATCATGGCTCAATTTTTGAAGCACGGTTGCCGACAATGATGAAGGCGACCGGATTAACAGTCAAGGCTACTCTCATTAAGCCAATTACTTGCGCGTCTCCGATGGGCACAATTGCGCGACTCTTACCCGGAAAGTCGGCGCGCACATGAATCTTCGTCGAGGATCGACATCCTTGGAAGAATTTGTTAAAACGTTATTACCGATATTTCCTAAAAAATCAATTGACCTCGAGAGTACACATTAATGTCCAGATATGCAAATTAGAGCCACGGACCCGATTACCGCGATACGCTCAAATTGAACCGTCCACTTTGACCGTAAGGTCGCGGATTTGTATCGTCTACTTTAACGATTAAATCGCAAATTATTAACATTTTATTAACATAATTTTCCTTCTCAGGAGCAGCCCGAGGAGTCGACCCGGAAGCTCCTGGAGCGAGAACTCCGTCTTCTGGACCCGAGGGATCTGCGATCTCACGCCTGGTACCACGGAAGCACTCTTCGGGGTGGTCGCAAAGGTGCCGAGACCGAGGTTCCGAACGATGGCGACTTCCTGGTGCGAGATTGCGCCTCCCAGCCCGGGAACTACGTCCTCACGGTCCGGTGGAAGGGCCAGGCCCTGCACTTCGTCATCAATAGGGTTGGCTAATTTTTTTTAGAACTCTGAATCCGATTTTCGGTATGACCTTATCATTAGGTAGATGCATCGGGACCGAGAACTGGTGGAAAAAAATTCTCAGGGGATGTTAAGGACGATGGATATGTACATGAGAAAGTTATTAATATTAGACGCGGCATTAATTTCTGTATCTCTTTGTAGGTGGTTATCCAGCCAGACACGGTGTACGAGCGGGCCCAGTATCAATTCGAGGACGAGGCTTTTGATACGGTCGCCGACCTGATAACGTTCTACGTGGGAAGTGGCAGACCCATAAGTCAAGCCAGCGGGGCACGGATAGTGCACCCTAGGCCAAGATCGGTCCCATTGACATGCATGCCGACTCCGAGCACCCAACACGGCTCCAGTCCGTCTTCGACCTTATCCACGGGTTCTCCACCTCGGCTTCCCAGGAAGCAGCAACGGAGTCACTCCTTGACCCCCCAGCAGCACTCGGACCAGCACTCGGTACCGAACACCTCGATGACCTCCAACCTCCCGGTGCACTCGAGTACCTTGCCTCGAGTACCTCCCATCCAGAGCCAGCCTCCATCGTGTTCCTTGTCCCTGGGTCGCCAGAAGATCACCAGGGTGATCTCGGACCCGGCTCTTCAGCAGCAGCAGCAACAGCCTCACCTGGTCGCGAACCATCAAGGGGCTACCCCGGCTCCGCCGAAGCCTCCCAGGGTCCCTTACGTCCCCAACCACCAGCATCATCACCACCATCACCACCATCACCATCATCACCATCAGGGCTACCAAGCCTCCGGAAGCGACAGCGGCAACGGATCCGGGGACAGCGAATTCGAGACCAACAATTCCGGCGGCAACAATCCATCCCTACCTATAAAGGGCGTCATCATCCGCAGTCATCATAACGTTAACGAACCCACTGCCAGCAATGGCAGCGACTACGAGCTCTCCGCCGAGGAACAGCTGGTCGTTGCCGCGCCATCCCTGGAAATCGTTACGGTGTTGGATGTCGAAGGGTTCTCCACCTTGTTGCTCCCTGCTGGGGAACACAGGCCCTTGGACCCGACCGCTCTTAGAGGGGTTTCCGGTATGCTGCATGACTCCGCTCCCAGGGTCCTGGCCTCTCATCTCACTCGCATCGACCTTGAGATCGCTCTCCATCCTGGCATGGGGACCAGGAGTGGTCTCAGCGGCCTCGAATTGGCCACTCTTCCTCATGGCAGACAGGCCAGGTTGGATCTGATCGAGAGGTCGGAATGCCTGAAACTCCTGGTCGCCGTCACCGTGCTCGCTGGGGCTACCGCGATAGAAAGGGCTGCTACTATCAGCAAGTGGATCAAAGTTGCCGTCGATACCAAGACTGCTCTGGGGAACCTTTATGGGTTTTGCGGAGTGATGCTGGGCCTCTGTCTTCCCCAGATACAGAGGCTCGCTAATACTTGGCATTTGCTCAGGCAGAAGCACACCGATGAGGCTTTCAGTTTCGAGGCCAAGCTCAAACCTACTCTCAGGGCCATGAACGAGTGCACCAACCCCCAAGCTCCGAATACCACCCTGCCGCATTTGTTGCCACTTGCTCTGCTGGGAGAAAGAGGCCCCGAGGATGTCTTAGGTATTGAAAGTCTACTTGGCAGACCTGCGACATATGACAAAGTCGGAAATGACTCCACGGAATATACCCGTGGTGGATAGAAATTTAGATTAATGTATATTCAACTCCTCTGTTAATTACAAAACTTGCGCGAAACCGCGTGAGGGGTTTTAATGTTTTTCTTTATGGTTTCTTTTAGGAACTGCCGCACCTTCCGGGCTCACCGCTGCGATTCTTTCCTCGTGGGAGACTTCTGCTCCGGATTGCGGACTCTCCATCGTCTGGACACACCTCGAAGCCACTCGAAAGCTCGCCGAGAGCTTACCCCTTTTCCGGAGGAATGCAGAAATCGCCCTGGAGGGGTCAAGGTGTGACGAACTGCTCTCCGACGCTTTTAGAACGGAATTTCATATTAAATTCTTATGGGGAAGCAGAGGCGCCGCGGTCGCGCCCGAGGAAAGACATCTCAAGTTCACTCAAGTCCTCGACGCGATGTTCGAGAAATGTTCGGCAACCGAAGCCGCCGCGTAAACTTGGAAAGAAATCGAGAAAGTCCGGCCTAGGAATGGAGACTCTCGGAGGACCATTTTTTAATGGGACTTTGTCGACTTCTCTTTGCGCAACCTTGTCCTTGGGACAACTTTATGAAGGAAATGATACTTCTTCGTGCACTATACCGAGGGAAGATATTGATTGACTTAAACAAATCTTATATTATTGTCTTAATCATATGCCATTGCAAAGGACAATTTTATTTCGTTGGGAAGAGAGAGTCAATCTAAATTTCCTTCTTCTCGGTATAGAGTGCCCAAAGATGCGAAACTATGTGCGATAGGGCTGTATGGCTTTTTATCCAGTGTTTGGGCACTTGACTTAATTGGTATCATTTTTTTCAAAAAGGATTTAAGCTAGTCTCGCGACGAAAGTCACGACCGTTGGTCATCGGGGATACTTTTCTCCAGTGGAGCTTGAATTATAAATATTCTAAGACGCTTATTAGTTACAAAGTTCGTCCGCAATACGAGGGAATTAACGATTAGTGAAACGTACACACGGGAGCAATAACGGCTGGTAATTCCAATTTGTACCTTAACTGAACTTTGTGATTTGTAAGTTTCCAAAGTGTCTCGAAATCCTTATCACGTGTGATGGAGAAAGTATTCCCAATGGCCAGGGTTCGCATGTAAGACCCCGTGGGAAGAAACTAGAAAAAGTTATCGAAATACCCTAGATTTTCCGACTAGACCCCCTGACCCGTGACAATACAGAGATATGAGGGAAAGAAAGCAAGAGGTGCGACGAAGGAAATGTTAAACGGAAAACGATGTAAGGCACGTCCAAAGAGTAGAGAAACATACGATAGTTACCTACAAGTAATTGCGCGTACTTAATTAACTAATTGAACTGTATATTCGACCAATAACTGTGTTGTACATGTTGTTCATGTTTGTTCGTAAATATATATATCGGTATAAAAGACCTCTACGTTTTATTGATTATTCCCTTAATTTCCGATTCCTAAAATGCCGGCCAAATTTATTCGGCGTTATCGGCCTGCAGAGCTAACATTTTGCCGCATCGTTTAGATACGTAACACGCATATAGAGTTTCTAGTCGCGTTGGAAACTGTACAAAAGTACGTTTAGATTTATAACAAAGCATTCGAGGCCCTCGGTGACTGACATTAATCGCCGAAACCAGTCGGAGCGGTTCTTCCATATTTGGATCAGATTTATATTTTTGTATCCAACGTCGTCCCACACGTTCTAGCATCGTAGCAGGATCTACTGGCGCATCTGAATCACCCAACGGACTTTTCTTCATTCTCCTGGCGAATCACCGTTACCACGAAAAGACGGTTTGGGCGTTGTATTTTTAACGACGCCTCTTGTCGCTCCTGCCGCAAAAAGACAATGACGAGTATTCGGAGGTCGCTCGCATTTCTGAGGGAAATAACGTCGATTGCGATTTACAGTTCCCTCGTAACTGTAATCTCACATGGCGAGCCTGCAACAAGAAAATTCCATGTATCGCTGGAATATCTTATACACCCCACGGGATATTTTTTTTATTAATAACTGAACCTTCCTGGGTTCTTGTTCTGCAGGTCGCGATGAGCGAAAACGTTGTAGCAGATTTCTTTTTTTTTTTTTTCTTTTCCATTACGCGCTGTCGAATTGCGAGGACCTGGAGACGTGGCTTGAGATAATGAGGAAGTCCCGCGCATAAATTTGGAGACTTAACGGCCAGTTTGAGGGCGATTTTCTGAAAAGATGGAGAAGCGGCTGTTGTGTGGAATGGGAACCCTGAGTTTCGGATGAAAAGGTCGGTTTTTCACTGGTCACATCTGGTCTGCAGGTTTCGGCGCGAGTCCGCATATCTTGTTCTTATCTCCCTGTGAAGATAAAGACAGACAATTAATGTGACAGTTACCAATAAACAATCAGTGGCAGTTATTAACAGAGTTGAAATAAACTCTAGATATCTAAGGTGTCATATATCCCCTTGCGTCTCTGACGAAACCTGGAGTACTCGGTTTTATGTGTTTATAAACATTCCTTATCCAGGTCTTACTTCCCACGCATTGCTCGTTCACACCCTGTATATATGACGAGGGAAAAAAAAAAGAACCGCAGTCGAGAATCCACCCGTTGGTCGTCTGGGACCTCCTGCGGATAAGGAAAAACGAGAATTAAATTAAACTCACTTACCGAGCTCTAATTAAATTACAAATGGACGCGTAAGAGGAGAAGGAATCGCGATTCGGGATTCGGAGTCACTAGGCGACTTGGCAAACCTTAGATTCCTCGGTAAAAGAAAAAAGAAAAACAAAGCAATTCCACAACCTTGGTGGGAAAGTTCCGAGAGTCATCCGCAGGGCGGCGCGCGCACGCGACGCTCGCCGCGAGCGATGGTTGAAAATTCGAACGGACCAATCAGAGCGCTTGCGCCAGACCGCGCGGACCAATCAGGAGCCGCCTCGGCCGCGCCGACCAATCAGGAGCGCGGACGCCATTGGTCGTGCTCCCAGCGGCACGCGGGGCATAAAAGCAACCGGCGAGGAACGAGCGAGCCAAACAACGGAAGATCGCTGTACGGAGAGGTGTGAGCGTCTTTGAGCTTTGTGCTTCTGTAGCGTTTCGAATTCGACTTCCAACCAACTGGACCTTGCGGTCTGTTCTATCAGGTCCTTGTCGACGGATAAGCAGTAAGTACTCTGACTGTTTTGTCAATATACGACGATTATTTGGGGAGGAATGTAGGTTAGGGGGAAAAGGTATCGCGAGCACGCGGAGTTAACGAACAAAGGAAGACGCCACTCGTACCTTCGACGTTCGAAATAAAGATTTAAAATGGTGCTTTGTGATTGTGGCGAGATTCGTTGATTCGGGGATCTTGATTAGTGAAGAAAAGTGATGTTATTCAACTCATTGTTTGCAAGGAGGTGTCTTGTTTAGGGGCAAGTGCCTTTGTTCTTTGGGTAAATTCATGGGAAATTATTTCAATGATGGGGCGATGTCAGTTATCAGTTGTTGCTAATGGATCTTTTAGGTAGGATTTTTTTTAATGTAGGGACAATTTATTTATGTAATCCTTGAGATGGAAAATGAAACCTCAAAATTATCGTTCTCAGATCGTTCGAGATGGCAACAGCTACGGAGGTACCTCTTGCGAATGAATGTGAGTAAACAGTAAAAATAATTTTTCCAACACTCTTGCTATGTAGCAAAGCCTGACATCAAAGTTATTTATTACATTAAGAAATTTAAGCAGTGCTTCTAATATAAAAAAACTTTGCAAGCTGCGAGGATTAGCGAAGCGTAGGTTATCTGGACTGGAACTAGTGGACGAGTATTAGAATAAGGAAGCGCGAGCGAGCTGCATTCAAATATAAATATCCTAAAAAAATATCGAGAGTTATACGAACTCCAAAAGTGTATGAAATAATACAGAGACAATTTAAATTGAATTTATTTGTCAAGAATGTATATTAAAAACCCATATTTAGTTGCTTTTTTTTAATTTATGAACCATAAAGATTCGATGATTTAATCCGAGAGAGGAAAAAAATATGACAAAACTGGTTCCTTATATTCTTTCGATAAATTCAGTTATTGTTTCCAAGCGACTCGTTTCACCACGAATGAAATTTGCAAGCCCTTCCCATGGGAAAGCGAGCGACATAACAATCATAATGACGGGGCAAACCATTTAGCTTATTTCCTGTTCCGTTGAGTGAATTTAGCCCAGCCGAAAATAATCGATTCGTCCGTCGTGCGTTGCGAAAAGTGCACTTGGTCATGTCAACAGCTGCAGTAAGTAATACACCAATTCCAGGAATATTCGACCACGTACATAGGACCCCCTAAATTCCATTTAGGCGAAATTCCCGTGCCCGGTCTCGGGAAAATCGACCTTACTACTTCGCACGGGTGAACTGCATAACACGTTATTGCTATCGAACACGTGCAGTTGATAAGTGTACTAAACAGTGATAAATGCCGACCTCTCCATTGGAGATAGACCGTCAGGTTTATTATCGTCGTGGGAAAAAAAAAAAGGGTACTTGGAAACGTTAACCAGTATCTGTAGGTAATGCAGATTGGCAGGATATTTGGCTGGCACGGGGCAGGAATGGTGGCGGGGAACACACCCTAAATTGCAGCGGAGATGCAGGCGAGCGGCGACGAGAGGTCAGAGCCCTCTGCGAGGTGCAATGCTGCACTGCATGCCCGAAGACTGCAACGCGACTCGACTGCAGCGTCGACGGCGTCGTGACTCCGCGTCGATAGCAACGTCGGAAAGAAATTGCACTTTTACTCTAAACATTTTTTTTTAATTCCATATCCCACTAAATTGATAATTTTTTTTTTTTCTGATATTTTAAACGAGAATCTTAGAAGAGATCGTTTGACAATACCAGATCAAAATCTTCGGCCAACCTGCATAATGACCATCAATTCTAATTGCACAATTAAGCCTCAAGCAGGAATTGCAATTTTTACTTTCCTTAATTTTTTTTAATTATTTTATTATATTGGTATCTTTTTGAGGGAGGGGATTGGGGTTTTTTTTAACGTGGGTCTTAGGTTGGGGTACCAAAGGGAAATTCGATTTATAGATAAGCGTATTTGGGAATGTATATTGTTGAGGTCAATTTTAATGGTGTAATTGACCGGACGTGCTTATTATATGGATAATAGGACGGAGTCGTTCCTGGAACGCTCCAGATTAGCCACGTGCAAGGAACCGATCCTTACTCCACTTTGTTCCTCGATAATGATATTCCTCTTTCACTTATTCATAGCTGAAGGACGGCCGGCCCGATAAGGAGTGCAATGTCCTTATCGTAGCGAGTATTTTCTTCGCGTCTTTGTTTAACCGCCGTCGGCGAGGGGGGAAACCGCCTTTACTTTATCTTGCATGCTCGAAAAAGAAAAACAGGTAACCGTGTTGTTGCATTTAAAACAATCACGATTCAATTTTATTACTCGTGAAATGTAGTGACGTCTTCAATTCTAAAGATGTTAAAAAAAATCGTTTTATTCCAAATCTCCGACTACGATGGCGCCGTGGTACGTGAATTATGTCTCAGACAATGGGAGGTCTCATTCTAGAAATTCAGAATTTAATTTAGCAGGGGAGGTGAATTTTTAAACATTTTTTAAGCCCCTTGCCGGCTCAAGAGCCGATCGATCCTCTCCACGTAACCTTCGACGCGACGGAAACTCGTCAATGGTGCCTCTTCTTCTTCTTCTTTTTTTCCCCTCTTTTTTTCCCGATCGAGGACCGCTCGAATGCATCCAGCTGCATCCCGGCGCATCCCGCTGCACTCCCCGTGGCTCCGGTCACGGTGGCCTGCAGTCCCGTTGACATCGAAGATACTCGCGTGGGAAGGACTCGTGTTGTCGGTAACGACATCCTGGACACTCCTCCGGACGCTTTCACGTTACTCCGATCACTCTTCAAGATTTTGCATCGCCCCTTGAATACCGAATTGCTTGCCGGAGATCGATGCACTTTTCGAGCCGATTAAAAAAAAAAGAAAAATTACCAGATCGCGTACTAAGTCCATATTGTTCAATCCACCTTACTCATTCTAAGTGCATCGAAGTTCAAGGAGAAACGAGTCCTTACTGTGCTGAGCATATGTGTATATATAGAAAAGAACCCTTTCGTATCTCCTTAAGGCTTCCCCAGAAGAGACTCTCGTGACCGGCGCACGTGGTCCGGCTCTTAGCCGCCTCTCGACGCATCTCCGGGTGGCGGCCGTCTCGTCGCCAGGGTGGATAGGGTGGGTGGGAGGTGGGTGGGAGTGGGCGGGGGCGGGTGGCCCCGAAGGGGGCGAGAAGAGAGCAGGGCGGATATTGAGCGACGCCGGGCGCCGTGGCGCGCCGGTAACGGGTATCAGTCGTCCACTAGCCACCGCCCCGGACTCCCACGACCCCGACGCCGTCTCTTCCGGGTCCTCTCCTACCTCTCTCTCTCTCTCTCTCTTTTTCTCTCTCCTCTCTCTATCTCCGTCCCGCGGCCTCGAGGACGTCCCGCCTACGTCCCACGCTGGTCCAACCGGAACCCATCGGTCACGGGCCCGGAGACTGAGAGACACCCCGACTGCAGCCATGCTGATAGAACTCGTACGCGAATCCATGCTGCAGTGCTTCTGCCATAGTTGCAAGGCCCCCATTAGCCTTGCAGGTGAGTGACCGATTATCGGCTACCCCTTGATGGGTTGCGAAATTTTCTTACGTCTCATTTCCCCCAATTCTTCATTTCGGAGGTTACTCTCCTCGTACCTTCTCGAGGAGTCGTTACCCTACCGGGTATTCCTGGGGTCGAATTTTTAGTTTCTTTTTTTTTTTTTTTTGGACAATTTTTCGAATTTTTTTCATTTCGGAGCTAACGCACCCTTCGTTCCTACTCCGGGGTGGTGCAAGCTCAAGCGGTCGTTACCCTGGTGCTAGATTCTATTTGCCATCGTCGAAGACACGCACGAGGAGTTTCTGGATTTTTTTAAGGGGATTTATTGAATTGATTTAATTACCATTTTTTTTTTTATTTATTTTCGAAACAAACGTAAGCTCTCCGTAACTTACAAAGGGTGGTGCACCTTCACCTTGCCGGGTTCTCCCGGGGCGACCCGGTCGATTTTACTCGGTTCCCCCTGGATTATCTCGGATATATCTAAGCATGTTATATCTTTATATACCGGAGAAAAGTATTTGAAGCATCGCATTAATTATTTAATCTCTCGGTAGCGCTGTCGCCAAGCGCCTCGGTCGGTAAATTCGCCGGTTCGCTCCGATCGTTGCCCGGGACAAGATGGACACCCAGGGTGTTAAGAGACTTTCCAGATCGTCTCTTTATCACAGCCCTCCTAGTGGAAGGAGCCGATTTCATACCCGGTGGCTCTTCAAGGGCGGTTCGTCACCTTGCCGGGTCCTCACAGGTGAACGGAGTCGCTCTCATCTCGTTTAATAGTCTTCTCGACTATACCCCTTTGGCGTACACAATTAACTATATATCGCCGTCTAATAATTTTCCAAATATTTTATGACATCGTTTTAACTTCATATAGCGCGAGGAAAAGGACGCCGAAATGTTTCATTTAAAGATGTTTTTAAGGTTAGGTTGCGTTTACCTTCCCTTTTTTTTTTTAGCGATTTAATTCCAATTGGCAACTCTCGAGGGTCTATTTTCGGAGCGAAGGCATTTGCGGGATGCATCGATTTATCGGCAATTCTATTTTAAAGGCTACTCGAACCCCACTTCCGGGTAATCCCGAAATCGAAGCGGGATCGATCCGGTAAAAGTCCCCGGGATTTATTAGCCGAGCTTCGATCGAGCTTTATATTAAATTCATGTCGGGACATTATCCAAGTACGCGACCTTTGGCTTCGCGCGGCCGTATATGTTTCCATCGCCCTTTCCAATTATCCGATGCACTTTGTCGATTAATTCGCGAGATATCGATCGGGGAGACCTTGTAAAGGTTTTGATATATCTGTGGAAAGTGGATCCGGAGTGGAAATCGCGATTGGATGTCGCTGATAAGCAGCGATAAGTGGGACCTTAGCTTATTAGAGGTGTCGGGCTCGGATCCCTCCCACATTTCCTTTCACATTAATTATGAAATAAATAGAGGCGACGAGGCTTTCATTGGTCTCTTTTGATTTTCCCTTTTTTTTTTCTTAAAGAATTTTTTTTTTTTTTTTTAGAAAGGTTTGCCGTGGAAATTATGGAAGTTCTTGAGATTGGGTGGACGGTTCTTCGTTTTCTCTCGCAGATTCGGCGCGTTCGCAGATTCTAGCCGTCCCATTCGTTCCTATGACCAGAGTTCTGGTATATTACTCTTTAGTCTTTCTTTTATGAGGTCTAGGGTGTCCGTCTGAAATTTCGAGGGGATTTAATTTCGGTTAGCGTCGCCACGTGTTCGGCAGCTGACGTTCGATTAAGGGTTCCGCCCAAGATGGCCACCGTGGACTCCCTTGAAAAGGTATTTCGCCCTTTTCTCCCCTAAAATGGAGAATCATTACCGAGGAAACTTTTATTCCGGCTACCTTGATTTATGTACGGAATTTTAGCTCCCGGGGATAACACTTTATCGGTTAAACGTGACTCCCTCGAGAAGGTATTCTCATTATAAGAGTGCACCTGCGATCTCCTAAATTTTTATGAAGTCTAAGGGAAACGATAATCGAGTTGCAAACGATTCTTTTGAAGCTGGTCAGCGCAGGGGCACGGGACCCCTGAAGAAGAAGCCTGCTGGAAAAGGCAAACCCCGAACCAAACAGCCGAAAAAGGTGAAGTTCATCAGTAAGTACTCGAACGATTTACCTTTTCAGCAAATGTGAAATATATCCTACCTGAATGCAGCTCGCTCGCTTTTATTATTTTCGTACTTGTCCACGAGGTGTGAGAATTTTTTTCCCTTATTCTCCCCGAAGGTGCGCGACACGTACGAATTGTGAATTTCTGCAAAAGGTGAGAAACGTGCGAAATGTTAATTTTCGCAGCTGGTAGAAATGGGGTCGAATTATTTAAGCAAGTCGGCCGAGAGAGCTGGAAAAGATGATTTTGCAGAGGGGGAAAAAAGAACGAGAGGGGCGAGGTGGGTGGCGGTGGGTGGCGGTGGGTGGCGACGCCGTGCGTGAGCCGACGCTAGACGTCGTGGCGCCTAGAGACAATCGTCCCTTGGTCAGATCGATCCCTCGCGAGCCTCTGACTCATACTGGTGGCTTATGTAAGCTCTCTTGGCCCGATCGAAAAAGAGAAAAACCCGGAAAGCAGGGCAGAAAGCTTCCGCCCTTAAAGTCTCGACCCCCCTTAATCGTAGGATCTCTTTTTAATTCCTACAAATCAATTAAATTAATTCCCTCGACAACAGCCAGTCCATGATAAATATCGGCCGACCCGAGATCGGCGTAACGTTAAAAAAATAACCCAATACCTATAAATTAAACCAGGCGATTGTTTAAATAATTCCAATTAATTGGGATAATTCTAAAGATCAGGATTTTAAGGTGGGGTTTCATTTCGATCGCTTCTCGCGATCGGCTTAGCTGTTTTTTAGCCGGGGCAAGCGTTCACCGTCCTAAAGTGAGTTTAATTAATCCCCCAGCCACGGAAATCCGATGCCAGGAGAAGACCAAGGGAGGATTGCGTTACGACGTGATCCTGGCTGAGCCCACGGCGGAGAGGAGATCGTCATATCCGGCTCAGCGAAGTCCTACCCAGCAATCGATACCGGTCGAGAACAAGCTGAAAGCCGCCGAGGAAAGAAGGCAGTCCTTGGAGGCCGAGAAGCTTTCCCAGGTCGCCGCCAAGCTCCAGAAGATCGAGGAAGCGGCCCGGAAGAAGGACGAGCTCAGCGCGGCCTTCGTCGCGGCGACCCGGAAGTCCCTCGACGCGAAGATGAACAATACTGAGGAGAAGAGAGAAGCGCACATCGCGGAGCTTAAGAACAGGCTGAAGGAGCACGTGAGTCCTTTATGTCGACGTTACAACGATATCATAATTATTTAACCCTTGGCTACCAAGAGCGCCAAAAGGCGGTCGACGTTTGGTCCAATATTGCCTGCACGGTCAGGGGAATTTCGCCCATACGTCGAAATGCCTCCGCGTTTAAAGGGCCGCTTACGGTGGATGGAGTTTAAAATTCGTCTGAGTTTAACCCTGGAACTATCGGCGGATCTTTTCTTTTTCTCGATTTTTCCTAATATAAACGAATCCCTTAAACGGGATATATCGGAAGGTTCGCGAGAGGTCCGACTGTCCCTCGTTTTTTATTTTTATTTTTATTTTTTTTTTACCCCCCTTTGCGGGTCGAGTTACTCGTGCAACTCGACTTGCATCCTGCCACTCGAGAACATGACCGACGGCGTTACTTGTTTCCAGTTCGAGAGCATCGAGAGGATCCGTCTGAGTCTCGAGCAACAGACCCAGAAGGTGAGGAACGACGTCGAGGCCAAGTTGCTGACGGCTACTGCACAGCGCGACGAGAACATCAAGATGATGGTGGAGCGGCTTAAGGAACACGTTAGTTGCACCACCTGCGATTTAAATAGTTTTAATGTTTTTAGTTATATATAGTAGGATATAATTAAATGGTTTTAATTGTCGACCGTGAGACTCTCCTCGTTGAACTTTTTTTTTTTCCTTTTTGGGTATAATCGCAATTCGAAACATGTATTACTGTCTACGTTTCAGGAGGAACAAGTTGCTCGTGTTCGCAGCACCATGCTGGAGCGCGTTAACAAGTTGGAGACCCAGATTCAGGGAAGACTCGACCAAGCTCGGGAACGTCGCGAGACGATCGAACGCGAGCAAAAAGAGAAGCTTCGCAATCATGTAAGTCGGCAAAAAAGCGTTGAGTTGTTGGTGTAACTTCCGGTCAGATAGCCGCCGCCGTAAAACGTTTGCGATCGAGGTCTGTGATCGGGTTCCCTTTATTTCCTGGTCATTCCGATAAGGTGAAGAATAAGCAAATAAATATATTATTAATCTCCGACCAAAGTGACCGATCTCCTCGGGGTCGTTTGAACATTGATTTATTTTTTCGCCGACTTTGATGCGGTATTTCTGAACAAAAGGAAAGAAAGATGGGAATGCAAACGAATGTCGTAGGATTAGTAACGATGCGGAGAATGATTTTTGGGGGTGACCGTTACCGGCAAATGATAAAATAAAATCTCTGAAATCGTGTTCGTTCAGAACACCGTCAAGATCGCACAGGTCCGCCAGACCGTCGACGTGAGCATGAAGGAGCTAGAGGCGAAAAAGCACGAATTTGACACGAAGGTCGCCATCGCGGAGCTGAACCGACAACGGGAGATTCAACGTCGCTTACAAGCTATACGGCAGCATGTAATTTAACATTTATCAAGTTCGTCGTTGTCATCCCCGATCGTTATCGTATGTTGGCTTCTTAGCGTTATCGGTGACATGATACTTATGCGGCAGGTGGCCGTAAACACTATCAGCTGGTAATAATTAATGTGTAAAATGGGGTTTCTCCATGGCTTGCCTGAGAAACCGGCCACTATGGATAACTTGTATCGCTAATTTTGCGACACCTGCTTATTAGGTTCATGGTCAGGCTCTTCGGCACGATTGTTAAATTAACGATATATTTCATTGCGGAAAGAAATAATGCAGGGCGATATTTAACCCCGAAGAGTCGATCGTGCCAAAGAGATTGAGTGCCGAAATTTCGCGACTCCTGCACTTACCCCCCCCCCATTTAATTTGCAGCCCATCGGTCATGCGACTTTAATTGCAGTTAACACTTTTCGTACACCCTGGCTCGGTTTTCTGGGAGATTCAGTTTTTTCTTTATTTCATTTAATCATTACGCTAGGAGAGAAGAGGGAACGACGAAAGATGGCGGGATTCGGGCGACGCCTATCCTTCGTCGCGTCCTTCGGTCATTTTTTCCGGTTTTACCTAGAAGTCATGAGTCTTTTCGTTTCTTGTAGGAGAAACGCATCGAGATGGTGAGGCAGAACAGGAACAAAGTCTCTTCGGACAGCCAGGAGGATGGCGAAAAGGATGCCCCCCTCGAGAACGAAACCGCCAGCTCCGGATAAGAAACTCCATCGGATGCCTCTCGATTCTCGGGACCTCCTTTCCGAGAGAAAAAAAAAAAGAAGAAAAACTCGCCATCGCAATTAATGGGAGACGTCACGGGGCGGAAGATACGAAGGCGGACATCTTCACAGCCTCGTGCGACGTGTGCACAGCTTTTGCCATTTATCAAACGTCAATATCGAAGCGCTCGGTAGAAAAAATTGAAATCGAGCCCGCGCCTTTCTCGGGGTCCTCGATGATTGCATCGTGCCATTACGTACATTTTAATTCACCCCTTAGATTTTTTGCGGATCTTAGTTTTCCTTAATTTACGCGAATCGCGCCGGTTATCCCCTTTTTCCACCGTACCTTGTATTCCACCCACCTCGTATTCTAATCAGGTATTAGTACATAAATACATGTATGGCTCGAAAAGTACCAGCGGGAATGTCGAGACAATTTGATGATTTCACGGAAACCTCGGGTCATTTTAACGGCTAAGTCATGTAGATTCATTTATTTCTGTACTAATATCGCATATCGTTATTACTGGAGTTACGCTTCGTCGGCTTGCGACCCTGACTGAAGGCTCTTAGTAAAAAGAATCTATTCCTAAGCTTTTCGATCGATTCCAAGATGTCCCGAAGACTGCTATATGTTCAAAGTCCGAGAGTTTGCATTTATTCGTTTTTAATAACCATACATAATTGTTTTAAGGTTCTCCTTGGATAAAGAATTCGAGTAGATTCCCGAATATCTTGCGAATCCATGACTAACGATCTCGAGACGTTGGTCTCGATTACTATTATCTTTTTTTTTTTGATTACATTTATTATCTTGTTTATTTCTTTTTACAGTAATTCATCTCGTTAATTTAATGCGTTCCCTTGTCGGGCCTTTATATTACCTTTTTTTTGTTTTTTCCCCCATTTACTTTAATAACATAACTACAAACAAGTGTTAGTGAAATGTTGTCGTCGGCTTTAAAAGTATGAGAAGTTTCTCGCGATATAAAATGGCGAACGTGGTTTTGCGGAGTATCGTTGCGATTTCTTTAAAAAAAATGGCCACTCGCGGTCGTCTCAATTGAGAGGGTCATGAAATTTTTCTACGAACGCATCTATCCTCGGTGAAATTACTCGTTGATTAGGGTTAAAGAAAATTATATTACTATCGCTATAATTAGAGTTTAAGGAACCATGTACCGCAATTGCTTCGTATATATATGCGCAGATCATAAGCGTGTCTGGGCGATTACATGCATATGATATTTGGGCACATATAAAGAAGCGTGATCACACGATATTATATATCAGTGCTTTATACTAGGCTTGAGGAATCTTACAAGAAAACCATTTTATACTCGATTGTCGTGATTATTACTGCGCTAACCGAGCAAGATTAAAGGAGATGAGATATGTAGTCTAATCTAATATGATAACACGATGCTTCTGTGATCGATTTCATTGTCTGGCGAGATGTTAGTACCTAAGCGATTACTATATTGCTAATTTGGTCACCGGGTGGTTACTCAATAATAATGGAACTAATTACTTCTGACAGAATGTGTCGAACAGGAGAAACGTCACTAAACTCCTTTGCACCGTTCGAGTCTATTTATGAGGTGGGCCTTCTACCGAAGTCTGAAATAGATTGATCGTTTTAAAGGAACAAGACTTGGTTACTAGGGAATGACAATTCAATTGTACAGCGGTGACTTTCAATTTTGATTGGCTGTCGGGTGATACGATTGAGATTTAAACCTGCGTTGTAAGCCTATCTCCTAATTACCGTATCAAAATTGAATAGGATATCTCTTTTCTTTTAATGGTCATAATTGAAGAGTCAAATTGAAAGTTACTCCGCTTGGGGGCAAAAAACAGTGAAAGTTAACATACTAAACCAGAAGACAGCACAAGATGCTATCGGGCGACTCATCTCTGGTATGACTGCATCGGTTACAACTTACCAGACGGTGAACATGACGTCATTTCCTTGTGCATTTTTGGGCCAGCCTCGTAATAAATGGATTTATGATAAAACCAGATCAAGGTGGGATTTTTTTGCGACAACATTTCATATATAACCATGTCATTACATGTCCAAAGTTTAACCTGCGGGTTAAACAGTTTCTGTATAGGGTATCCATTATCCACCGTCGATGTCATAAATTAGCGTAGCTCGTATTTCTAAACTTCCCCGACAGATGGCGCCAGTTGCCTCTGTCGCGTACTCGATGTAGTCGGGCTCGCGGTCAGAGCGGATCAAAGCCTCATAATTCGGGAAAAGCCGGCAGACCCGGTTACCGAAGAAGGTAAACAAGGAAAATAAGCAAGAAGGAGCGTCCGTTGATACGACCTACCCTCCGAGACGAGGCTCGGCGACCAACCGGGGCACCCACTGGCACTCGGCGAGCCTCTCGGCCAATGGCGTCGCGCCTCAACAAAGATGGCCGCCAGCCTGGGAAGGAGGTCCGGCGAAGTCGCACCGCGAAGGTGCTCGCGGTAACATGGCTGCCGGTCGCGAGTGAATAATAATGCGCAACCGTCCCGCCGTATGGGCTTGACCACGCGACGCGACCCGCCAAAGATGTTACTGAAGGGCCGGACCGGCGAGAGGAAGGCACGCAGGCACCATGGAAAAGACGCCAAGGCCACGGCCGGTAAGTGAAGCATCGATAGAGCGAATCTTTCGACCGCGGAGCGCGCAGGTGGGAGCGGGCCCGAGAAAATGTCGGCGCTCGCCTTCGTAGACGCGCATACTCGATGCACGAGGGGAGGTGCCCGTTAACGTTTAAGCCGGCATCACGCATCTCTCGACGCATCTACTTTTCGGGGCCAGCCGACGGCCCGTCTAGGTTAGGTCGCGCTAAACTTCGACCGGGGACTTTGGAGCGGTCGGGACCCGTGCCTATGCGACTCGATAGAACGACCGCTCTCTCTCCCTCCATCTCTCTCTTTCTACACGCCCGAGAACGCATACCCGGGGTAGAGGCGACATCGCGTGTCGGTTTCGCGACCCGTCTCTCTCTTTCGAACGACCTTGGCGGGGCGGCGCACTTAATCGCGTGACTGCAGTCATCGAAGATTTTTAGGTTAACGGCCGCCGGCTATTTCGGTGGCGAGCCGTAGTCATGTGACCTCGCGCCCCGATAGCGATGTTTACGTTAGGATACGACGGTAATTCGGCGACAGTCGCTAGGAGGACGTAAGTCGTTGCCACGCTATTATTCGACTCCTTTTGCTTTTTATTTCCCTCTCTCTCTTTCTCTCTCTCTCTCGCGAGTCTCCTATTTAAACCCGATCGGAATGTCGGGCCCTGCGCGTCGCGGCTGCGCCGTGGTACTCCCGCCGATCGAAGCTCTTTTCAACCCTCTTCTCTATTTTTTTTTTATCACTTCTCCTGGCATAATAGCGAAAAGATTCTTATCTACGCGTGTCAGCCATGAATTTCGCAATGCACCGTTTATCTATTCTGTTTACTTGCGACGTTATCGCGCTAAACATGCATCGCGGGAGATATCGTCAGTCAAGCGGTTACCGCTTAGCGGTGCAATTATGAATGTCGGTGATGCCGATGGTACATCGCGGTTGTATAATCGATACCGAACGATACCGATTAGGAGATTAATTACTCGACCCTCGCGGGTTAAGGTGCCGGGGTTACGGTCTCTCTCTCGTATTCGTACGTTTGATCGAGGTCGGTGCACCCGAATTCTCGGGGATATCCTCGCAGATATTTCAGAATCGCCGGGCGAGACTCCCGCGCGCGTCACGTGACCCCCCGCGGCCGCCATCTTGTTTTTCAGACGGCCAAGTTTGGGGGCGGGAAAAGATTCGATTTTTACAGCGAATTGCGGCGCGTTTTTTCCGGAAAAAAAGGTCTAGGATTGTTTACAATGATAAAGGGTCCATGGAAAAGTGCCCCCCAAGGCTGGGGAATAGAAGAAATGTCAGAAATTATCGCCGATGCGATTCTTCGTATGGAAACCGGGCTTAGGCCTTTTCACTCGGCGATTATGTAACGACGGTTCAACGCTCGCGATTCGCGGTTCCGCGATTAAACTAAATTTATGCGTAGAAGCGGGGGGGAAGGGGGAAGCGGCTTCCTCGAAGAGGGAGGAAGTGCCGGTATCGATCGTTACGTAAGATCGAAAAGAGGTTAGGTCGGCGACGAGAGGGCCTCGAGTCTTCTGCAGAGCGCTGATAAGAAATCGGACCAGGAAGAGATCTTTCGAGGGATTTCGCGGCAAATGTATTTAAAAGCCTGAAAAAAAAAAAGAAAAAATAATTCTTGAGCCCCTATGAATCCAACTTGGAATTTTTTTCACGGTTTAATGATTACGAGGTTACGTGGAATATCTCTAAAAAACACATTTGCGACGTGGCGGATTGGAGAGAGAAAAAAAAAAGGAAAATGAATTTTTCGACCTCTGAATTGAACCTGGAATATTTTTTGGGCACGGTTTAATGATTAGGAGGTGGTGTTATTTAATAGGATATTTTATTCGCGTTGAGGGAGATGCGGATGTTTAAAATAAAAAAAAAAAAAAATTAAATTTCAAGGCTTGCTCGACCGGGGCGAAGATTTATTCGGCTTCCCTTGACTCCCTTTCGGTCCAGACGTTGGGTACACAGAGTATTCGGGTACACCGGTGATGCTGTACACTTTGCAATTAGTAGAGACCGAGTGGCGTTACTTTTCACGAGGAATTGTTCCCCGCGGTGGTCTGACTCCTGGGAAACGAGTTCGACGGCACTGTTAGCCGACATTAAACGTCTCAAGGCCTTTACAATGTACGTCCAATCACCGCCAATCTACTCGTACTTTAACGCCGATTTATCGTGGGCCACGGTTTTAGTGGGGCCTCTCTGTGTGAACCTGCCCTTAAGGTGAACAGAAAGTGGCATCGAAGAGGTTTTGTTTATAAAACTTTTGAGACGATTACGATTTGAGACACCCAGTTCTATGAAATGTTTTATGAACGATTCAGCTTTCGGATGCCATTTTCACATCCCCTTAATGCGCCACTCTAAGAAACCGAGGTGTGCATCGGGGCGGACGAGATAGGAATAAAGGGGTCGTTTGCATCCCTATTTACATATTATACACGTACTATATGCTTGGAATTATCATTTCCACGGAGAGGGAATTTCTTAATTCGAGGTTAAAGCCTTTTTCCGATAGAATTTCCCTTTTTTTTTTTCCCCTTTACTATTAACCAGTATCGCGGTCTCTTATCTTTTTTTTTTATTTTTATACCCTTTTTGCCCTCTTTTGTCTTCAATTCCCAGGATCGGTAGTCGTGGTCCTAATTGTGCGTAAAAGGGGTAAACTCAATGGCGAGGTCGAACAGTAGGGGTAGTTTTCGGTCGTCGGTCGGTGAAGGGGGTGGCGCCTGGCGCCGCGACGCCCGCCACCGTCCCATCGCCTCCCGTTAACATTGTCGTATTTCGCGTCGACACGCGCAATTATCGCCACTCCAATTCCGACATTTTTTTTCGGAAGCCCGCCCCCTTCATTACGCGCGCCCGCCTCCGGAAAACTCATTTGTCGCCGACTAGTTATCCCCAGGGACAATCGGCATTTCGGAGCGAAGGAAAAGGGTCGTGATTTCGTATATCCGAAGTTAGAGCGTTACTTTATCCTCTAACTTTTATGTGGAATTTTCTTTTTTATTTTTTTTATTTATTTATTTATTTATTTTTTTGTTACCTGGGAACATAACCTTACTCTGGCCGTGTATTTTAGTTTACAGTGGTATGACTGCCGCTAGGGCCAGGGAAATTTAGGGGACCTTTTAACAATATATATCGCGATTTTTATGGCGATTAAAGGCGACCGGGATATCCCGGGGATATGTATGTAGAGGGGCCCCAGGTCTCGGGAGTTTTCCACGTGAAAGGTGGGAAATATTCCAGGACCAATCAGGGAAGGTGAGAGAGACGCGCCGACACGGCGCGCGCTTCGATTTCGCGGAGCGCGATAACTCGGGCTTAATTGTCCATTGACAACGAGCGACTCGGTTGATTTTACTCTTTTCACTCGGGCCGGGCTCGTTACTTTTCTTATTCGGTCGCTTTGTCCCGCGGTTGCGGCCCGGTCACGTGTCTGCACGTTTTTATTTTTATTTCCCTCGAGGCTCATCTTCGGGGGCGTTTACCTTCCTTCCTATTTTCACCCTTGGCTACTATGAGACGTTCGGTCCAATATTGCCTGCACGGTCGGGCGAATCTCGCCCGTATGTCGCGGTCGCACTTTCGATCACACATGTCAGGGTGATAATCACTTATCATACTGGATTGATATATCTCGTATAGACACTTTCGGAGTTTTTCCACATTTTTAGGCCCAAGGGCCACCTTTTCTCTTAAGGGACTGGGAATCTATCGAGACCACTCGGGCCCTGTAATTCCGAGGCACGTCCCTGCGACCGCGTATACGCCGATGGATTTGATTAATTGAAACAAACGCACGAAACGAGACGCGACGGTACAGCCGGCGAAATAAATTCCGGTCGTTCGCCGGGACGTGCCCTTACGCAACGTTTGCGTTAGGATTTCGCGGAAGGTTACTCTCTTTCCGTTTAACGGGCTATTCGGAATCGGGAGTACCTTGAAAAGGCGCCTTTTTTGTCCCCTAGAACAGATATAGATTCAGGGTGATCACCGATAAGGAGAGCGATTTTTAATTCGAGGCGATAATTACAAAAATGGTCTGATAACGATGCGCTTTGAATTTCTTTCTATCCTTTACCTATTTCGACGGCAAATTTTCTCCCCGAAAGATCTTTTCGTCCCGAAGAGATTTTTTTAACCATTGTTTGCGGTGGGAATTTCTTCGGTTTTTCTTCACTCTGAAGCGGTTTTTTTATTATTATATATTATTATTATTATCGCCTTCGGGGTCAATTTCTTTGGATTTTGGTCGGTCATAAGGGTGCTTTTTTCTCGTTATCATTCTAATTCTTTTGTTATCGACTACTTAGAACGATTGAAAAAAAAAAAAAAAAATGAAGCATCTTCGGGCGTTCCCGTCTCTCGAAAA